CCCACTTACCTAAGTGAACTTTAATGAAGGAAGTAAAATGATGATGTAAATATTAAAACATGGGATGGATTTAATTTTTGGCATTTTGCATGGTTATTTTATTAGTTCTTTTACTTACCCATATGTATGGAACTTGAAATATCTTGAAGTGCATTATGTTCCATTTTATTTGTCCCAGAGAAGATGCAATTATAAGTATCCTGCTTATTTGCCTTTAATTGCACCCAAAATCTAATTGTTATGTCAGAGTGATCTCTTATTCTTGCCTTTGTCCTTTCCCTTTGTAGGGTACACTGTTTTTCATGTCACCTGCAATTCACTGAGAAAAGTGTCTGTGTCTGATTTTGCAAACAAACATTTTATATGAATTCTGAAAAACAGAAATAAGACAAAGCCTGTTGATCTATCGTTACCTCGGAATTCCAGAATCACAGAACTGTTTAGGTGGTGAGGAACCTCTTGAGATCATCTTGTCCATCCAAACCCTCTATGGCTCAAGCAGGGTCATCTCCATCAGGTTGTCCAGGACCATGTCCAATCAATTTTTTAATATCTCCACAGATGGAGGCTGTTGGCTGTTGTATGATGACTGCCAATTCAGAAAACTTTATTTGTATTTACTCATTGAGACTGAATAATTATAATACCGATGTAGCAAAACTAAGAGACTGCTGCTCTCACAGTTTTTTAATTAGAATCCATAACAAGAGATTGTGATTGTTTTTTAATGAAAAGGAATAAAATATTCAAGCTGCTTCATTGGAAGCACTAAAAAAAAAAATGAAAAAGATGCAAACAAAAATGGACCCACCCTTAATAAGAGTCAAGATAGAAATGTCTGTTCTTTATCAGACTCTTGGGATTTAGCAATGAAACACTTCTGGTAGAGGTGCTATAAAATATCTTAGTTTTCACATGTGAACCAGGATTTTATCTCTTCCAGCAGATGAAAAGAAATTAGTACCTAGGTCTGACTTTTTCAATGCATTTGGATACTGGTGTGCTGGCAATATGTCACTCTTTGCTATCTGATAGCAGTTCTTTTCTGGATGAGTTCCTTGAGAAAGAATTAGCAATAATTCCCCACCAGCAGCTGCTATGTATGAATATTTTGGAGGTTGCCCTTTCCAGTTTCTGAGGATAATAGGAGAAAAACAGACCTAATTATAAGAGTTGACATTTACATGGCCAGTGCTAATTTTAGCAGAGCTGTCTGTGGATTTAAGGAAAATGCTGCTATAGTAATTTTAATTGAGAAACTATCAAGAAAAGAAACAAACAAATAAAAGTACCCCCTCCTAAATTATTCTCCATGAGACTTCAACAAGATATTCTGAGCTCTGTCTCATCTCTCTTTTTCAATTAAAGGAGACTGAACTGAGTGCTCTTCTTCTGGGCAAAATCAATGGGAGGCACTGAGATGCTATAGAATTAAGAGCAGTGAATCAGGGAGATGCACTTCAACATCTAGAAAATCTACCTGCAAATTACCTTATTAATGTGAAAAATACATGGCTTTAGGTTAAAGTTCAATGGGAGGATGACACATTGCAGAATATTTTGTTCCTTGCCATCACAGTTTTATTACCATGGCACTGCCTGGTATGCTTGCTCTTAACATTTTTCCTAATCTACTGTAGAGGCAAAAAATGCATTTTTTTCCTCATCTGTATTCTTTCCAAATAACATCCCAGCTATTGTCATCCACTGCTGCTTGAATTTTAGCTCTCACAGTGCTGAGCTTTCTAGGGCTGACAAAAGTTAAACAGCACTCAATCACAGTGCAGTGTCCTAAAGAATTGTAGCCAGGAGTTTGAAACACACTAATTTTGATTTATTTTCTGATCCAGTTCTGAGTTCTAAGCTCAGTGCCTGAGGAATCTTTTACAGAATCAGTGTTTTCCAGCAGCCTCTGGGGAGGCTAGAGGCAAGGCTTAACAAAAGGTTACCTAAAAATGAAATGAGGGAAGATGCAGAGCTCCACACACTTCTTTGTAAGGCAGTTGACTCAAATTGCAGCCCTTGGTTTGAATCAGATGCCTTCAGTCTTTAAAGGGTCAGTGAGCTTACTCTGCTAAATTTAACTGTTTCCTATTGGGCTGTAGGACAGTGAAAGAGGAGTGAGGTATTACCAAAATCTGGCCCAAAGCTTTTTACCAAATGTGATGTATCTGTGTTCAGCAAAGGAACTTGCTGTGGATTTCTTACACAGAAATTGTGGATACTCATTGCAGTAAAATAACTACATGAAGGCAAGGGATCAGCCATTGGTATTATTTTTTTGGTATTTTTGGCAGAGTACTTGAGGTCCCCAGGCAAATAGGAGCAGGTACCATTGATTTTTATTAAAGTTGTACACAGAGCTATTATCTGTGTGCTAGTCCACATTCTCTAAATGAGAATGAAAAAATAAAAGCAAATTATATTTGCCGTTATGCTATTTTATCTGTCTTACAAACTAGCCAAGATCATAATGAAATAAATCTGTATTAGCAGTTAATGATCAGTTAGTTGACAGCTGCAGGCAAGCCTGGTGATATAAAAATTACCATTATTATGAACATCTTCTATTGAGAAGATTTTTTTTAATTAAAATGTGAATACAATCTGTTTCAACAGCAGTATTATAAAATTTGCCTTTTCATGATCTTTAATAACCAATTTTTTGCCAGAATGACCCAGAATGCTATCATATGTATTCTGTATTAAAATCTATTTAAAAAAACTCAAGGGGCTCTGTCCTGTAACAGGCATCATTAAGCTACAGTTCAAAATATGTAATGTAATGTATATAACTAGTTATGAGTTTACACTCTGTTCTATTTGCCATCTGTTAAAAGCTTTGCAAATGAAACTTAATGGTGTTACAAAGTGTTTATATTATTTTGGTATCCATGTATGTGTGGATTCACAGCAATATAATTGCAAATATATCCTGAAATGTACTCTTCTCTTTTAAAGATATTACAGACTTTGTCTTAACTAGACCAGAGTAACCCCAAAGTGGGAAAATCCCAGTGGGGTGGATCCCAGGTCAGATGTCTTCAGGAGTATTCCAACTATCGCCTGATATCACCTTATTTATTTCAGATGCTGGATTAAAAATGAGTTCCTAATTTGAAAAGATTTTCATTTTGACCATGTAGTAGCCAAAAATATGTGTATATGTAGTATACCTTTTTAATTTGGGTATAGCTTTGATAGATAATGCCTCAAAGAGCTAAAGAAAAATCTTAAATCTTTATCAAAATGAGAAAAACAATATAGTTTGGGTTTTTTTTCATTTAAATATTAACATTTTAATAAATTTTTAATTAAGATATTTTAAAGCTCTTTCATGATACAAAACTTTTCAAGTAATTATTTCAAAGGCAAATTGCTCTTGCCATGATGAACTTCTACAAATACACAAGAATTAAGCAACCACAAATGCAAAGCAGCTGGTTAATTTTTATAATTAGCATATGATAAACCTCTTACACACAGAAATTCAAATATGTTTAGATAAAAATTTATTTCCTATGGCTTTTCACATTCATAATAGAGTGAGGCAGAGGTCTGTATTTGACGTCCTGAGGCCTTTTTAACTGGGAGAGGTAGAAATCCTGCTGAGTTGTATGGTTTTAAATATTCACCACTTTCCTAATTTAAAACTGATCTCCCCATCTTAATTTAGTTAGTTTGTTTTAATTTAAGAGTATTTCTGGCAAAAATATTAATATCCATAGACTTTATAATTAAATGCTGGTAGGGAATTAGTGCAGATGAGTCCAGACTAGTGTTGTGTGTTTTGGCGACCTGTTTTTCAAACCCTTCTCTCTTCCTGATATGACCTGAACTTTTTTTGTCTTTCTGGCCATTCCCATGTTCCTGTCTGAAATAATTTTAGTTATTCTCTCAACACTTCCACCTTCATTCCCAAACTTCTCTGCATCTACCTTTTTTCCCCATTTCATCCTTCCCAAGACTGCACTACAATTTCCCTACCACCCACTCTTGTACAGCTCTCAGCACTGAGGGCTTCACCCTTGAGGAATTTTGGCTGTAGGAAGGTGACCATTTATTTTTTGAGCATGAAGCCACGTGTGCTGATCAAAGAAGCAATCCCCAGGAGGGTGCTGCACGTCCCAGTCAGATCCAGTCATTGTCAGGGACTGATACACACAGACCCGCATCAGCTTATATTCTTTGTAGAAAATGTGAAATATTATCCCAGAAACTGATTCAAAGCCTAATGGAGAAGTAGTTACTCATAACTAAGAGGATTTTCTGCAGATAGAGTTAAAGCTGAAATCCTAACCCAGAGGTGTCATTTCCTGCAAATTCCTATAATTCTTTTCAAACAAAGAGCTTTCTAGTTAAAAGATTAATTTACTTGTTCTGCTCTGTGTAATCTTTTGATTATTTCTGAAATAGCTGAGGTAGATGTTCTTACACTTGGCAGATTGGCAAGTCACTGGAAAAAGGCTCTTAAAGATTGAAAATGTCAGGCTATCTTAATTACAGACAACATAAGTTTAATTTGTTTCTTTTTAATCAGGAAAATCAATCAGATAAAAAAATCATATGGAAAAGGCATGGTTTGTATAATAATAATGGAGATTCTTTTAAATATATTATAGTTGACTTGAATGTGAGCATTTGTTTTTGGATTGATCTTTTTAATGCATTGTTAGTCGCAGCTGTAACTCACAGCTGAAAATAACATGACTTAGGCCCTACAAAATCATGGGACTGAAATGCGTATGTTACACACAATCTCTTAATATTAAATGTGGGACATTCACTTAATTGTGGGTTTTTTTGTGTTTTTGGTTTTTTTTGGTTTTTTTTTTTTGTAGCAAAGGCAGGGTAAAATTGAATTTTTTACAGGGACAACTATACAATACGATAAAAAGTTACACAGTGATTAAAAAATAAAAAGGGAAAGATATGGATAAAATGATAGAAAATATTTTGAAAACTTTCAAAATACCACAACAATCTGTTTCATCTTGCAGGAATCCTATTAGCTCCCAAAGAAAAACTGGAAATCCCCGTGTTATTCATGCCAGCTGAAATGAAAATTTATAAAACAGTGGTGGTAATTAATGTAATGAGGGAAAAGGGTGAAAACTGGCCTTATGAAGTTACTGCTGAATCAAATACAGATTTAAACAGGTAATTTATTCTAATAGGAAATGAAAAAGTAGTTGAGATGCTCAATGCTGTCACCATTTATCCCATTGACTATTCATGTGTAGCTCCCAAGGGCAGTCCAGTGTCTGATTTTGAGGGCAGTGGATATCCATCAAAAGCTTTTAATGTACCCATAAAGTATGCAGATTCAGAGTAAGATATCTATCTGTTTTAATACCTATCTATTCTTGCTTTAAATAAAGAAAATGTAAAGAACTGGCTGCTGGTGCAGTTATGGATATTGAGCATATGAAAGCTCTTAGTACCTCTGATTTTTTTCAATATATTTGAGATAATAATGAGTCTCATCCCAATATTTTTATGTAATTCATAAATTACAGAAATTTTATCTCAGTGTAAACATAACCTGACAAAATGCAGATCAGGCCAAATATTTTCAGATCTATAATATTTCAATATACTAAGTGGATCTGAGTTATAACTGATGCTATTTATAGCTGATATATTTAGCTGGATTTTATTTCATATTTTTCTCAGATATGGTTAGCATTACAGCATACAATAGAATAGAGTCTAACATTTCCAACAACTCTTAAGTCTAAATTACTTTGGAAACAGGATTTTCATCAGTCTAATTGATACTCGTATTTTTCTAGAAATGTTATTGTAGCAGAGAATGGGGAAACTCAGGGAATACTCTGGATCTATCCCATTAATGGAACATCTGAAGCACCACAGCAGAAATCAGGTAGGTAATGCTTGAAAAAAGCTTGAACAGTATATTTAAGAAGGAAAATCAAACAGTCAGTTATATTCTCACCTGCTTGATCACAAGATTTTGCAGCAGTACTTGGCTATATCTTAAAAAAAGATAAAATCATGTATTAAAAATAAAATCATCTCCCATTTCCAAAGCAAGTATAGATCATTACTTTGTTCTTATTGTGGATAAAAGGAATTGGGGGCAGTTGTAAATCTTAAGGCCTGTGCTCTTCAGTGTCCCAATTAATCCTGAGTTTGAGAACTGAAGGTAAGCTGAGCAAAGGACTGACTCAAGGGAAGACTTCTTGCATACCCAGAACACCCTTCTGGAGAGTCTACAGGGTACAGAATATTGGAGTAAAATTCACTGCTTCTCTCAGCCTTGAATTTCATCTCTTAATCAAAACCAGAATATAAAGCAGTGTGAACAGCAGTAACCTTTCCCCTTGCTCCATAGAAGTAAACTTGAATTAAAAGAAGAAAACATTCTTGGCGGTTTCTTGCTGATTTTGGGGATGGTAAATGCTTATATATCCGACCATCTGTATTTTTAAGGTGTGGTATAATTCCAGAGCTATGTAACAGGAAGCTGTGAACTGCTTCTTAAATCTATAATCTTGAAACTACAGCTCAATATGTACATGTGGGACCAATTCTATACCAGCTTGTCCTTTTAGCTTACCTTTTGTTGACTGAATAAGTCAATATAATACCTTTCTACATTAAATGTATTAAGGTATAGGAACAATTTCTGAAAAAACCCATAGAAATAGATATTTGTACTGTCATTAATTTATATTGCTTAAGGACTCTTTACTTGTAGACAAATGCCAATGATGTGGTATTAATTAGAGCTTTCATCTCTTTAATTTGCACTTTAATACCTCAAGGAATGAAACAGAACATTATCATGTAATCAACTGTTGCCCAAAATGATGGCTTTAATGAGTCTTATTAGCATTAGAACTATGTATATTAATGTGGATGTTTGTTGCGTTATTTAAAGCTGTTGTGTTCAGTGGCACTCTTCAAGATAAATCTCCCTTTTATTGATCTGTTTTTTTTATTGAAATCACAGAATGATTAAGGTTGGAAAAGACCTCTATGATCACTGAGTCCAACCATTAACTCCGTGTAACCACTAAGCCATGTCCCTAAGTACCACATCTCTGTGGTTTCTTGAATATTTTTAGGTGTGATGAATCCCTCAGTTCTCTGGGCACCTTGTTCCATCACCTGGCCACCCTTTCTATGGAGAATTTTTTTCCCAATATGAATATTTTTAGGTGTGATGAATCCCTCAGTTCTCTGGGCACCTTGTTCCGTCACCTGGCCACCCTTTCTATGGAGAATTTTTTTCCCAATATCCAATCTAAACCTCCCTTGGCACAACTTGAGGCCATTTCCTCTTATCCTGTCACTTGTTACTTGGGAGAAGAGATTGACCCCCATCTGGCTACACTCTCCTTCCAGGTGGTTCTAGAGATGGAGGTGGTCTCTCCTGAACCTTCTTTTCTCCATGCTAGACACCCCCAGCTCCCTCAATCATTCTTCTTAATCTGAAGACTCTTTCCCAGCTCCAGTGTCCTTCTCTGGACATGCTCCAGCCCCTCAGTGTCCCTCCTGAACTGAGGGGCCCAGAACTGGACACAGGATTTGAGGTGTGGCCTCACCAGCACCCAGTACAGGGGCCAGTCACTGCCCTGGTCCTGCTCCACACTGTTCCTGATCCAGGCCAGCTTCCACCTGGGCACACCTGAGCTCACGTTCAGCCTATTTTTCATCAACATCCCCAAGTTCTTCTCCACTGGGCAGCTTTCCAGCCAGTCTTGCCCAATCCTGGGACATTGCCTGGGGTTGTTGTGCCCAAGTTCAGGACCCAATACTTTCTGTATAAGTTACGAATGAAAATGTTTAGCATTCATGAATTGCTTAAATGACATCATTTCTGTATATGATCAGAAGCTCACATACTGTCAACCCTTAAGTAATTTCAAATTCCTAAATGCTTTTTTAAAACAGCAAAACTAAATTGTAGCATATTTATAACTATGTTATGCATTAGTTTATGTTCAGTAAATATTTCTAATGCATAAAAAAGCATTCAAATTTTGAATACATGTAATTCTTTGGCCATCAGTATATTATATTGGGCTAATATTTTTTTCTCAAGGAAAATCTAGGTCTTTCAACAATGTCCCAGAAAACAGACATAAGTGTTTGTAAGTGTGTTTATGGAATTTTCCATTCCTGCTTTGATTCTGAAAGCCTATGGTTTTCAGTTATAATTGGGCATTTAGAAAACTTACGTTGTACAGTATAAATCCAAAGCAGGTAATAACAAGAAATCTACTATAAAACAAAAAAAATTATCACGAGTATTATAAAATCTCTCTAAATTCAGACATATATTAGAATTGCCTGGAGGCTACAGGTTTCTGTGTCAAAAACCCAAGTTGCTTTGCTGATATTATTAAGGAGTTCATCTTTGGGTCATTCTAATTTGCACCTTAATAAACTTCTAGAAGTCAGTTGGCTTTCTATCTCATGAGACCAATTAAAATGATCAGTGGTCACAACCCATGTAGTACATGTTAAGTAGATGATATCGCGGCTATCTTATAGAAGTGATTACAAAGGGAGGGTCATCAGGAATATTCTTTTAATTCCTGTAGAGTATAGAGTCAAAGAAGCATACAGCAGTTTTAATTGGAGGGGACCACTGGGGGTCCTCTAATCCAACCACCTGCTCAAGGGCAGCTTGCTTAGGGACTTGTCCAGTCAAATACTAGATATATCTAAATTTTATTCATGGATATACTTAGCCATTTGGGAAAAAGAAAATGTAAAATCAATTTTGGTAGTAAGATGAACTGTAGAATAGAACATGACACAATGTGCACGCAGTAATCTGGAACATTTGGTAAACTAGTGGAGTACAGAGAATGTAATCTATTTTTAAATATAAGGTCATATATTTAAACAAAAAGATGTGTGTTTAACCTGTTTCAGTAACTCTTCCTCATGGAAATTCTAAGAGATCTCTAGAAATTACTTACACCCTGTTAAACAGGGAAAGACCAAGGGAGAAAGGAAATTACCTTAACTTGTATAATTATCTATTTTGCAGAGTAATGGTAGTGTATAAAGTGGCAGAACTGAAATTTAAAGCTAAATAAAATAAATATCAAAATATAAAAAAAGGGGTTTCCTTTTTTTAAATGCTGCATAATGATTCACCACAATCTGGTTCCAAATTATTGATCATTAATTCCTGATGTTAAGTTCAGAGTTAATTTTTGAAGAAATATTGGTTTTAGCTCTGATGAAAATTACTTTTAGACCTTGAAACTGAAAAGTACATGGTCACTGTTCTTTTTCATGTTGATTCCCAGAACTCTAGGAAGTTTTAGGTCTTTGGGAAAACAGTTTTTCAGTGCTTTTATGTAATTGTCTCATTTTTCTGTGCCAATAAATATGAAAGAACCAGAAAAACTACCTATTCAAATAAGCTTTATAAAAAAAAGTGTACAAGCTAAAACCTAACAACTTTGTAATGAAAAAGACATATTTTGGAAGCAGTAAATTAAAATCACTTACTGAACTGAAAGAAGTTCTATGATGCTGCAAACAGAAGCTCATGATACAATACTTTTTATTCTGGCATATTTATATTAAAGTTGAAGTTTCAGAAACAGTATTTTTAAACTAAGAAAGTAAAGAGCAACTTGATATTCTTTCATTTAATCATAAAGCCTTTTATTTTTTTGGTTTTGCTTCAGTCTTCTTTTTACTGTCATATTTAAACTATGCCATAGTTACTATTAGCAGTTGAACCAAGTTGAATGATTAAAAATAAGAGAGAAATTTACAAGTGCTGTTGGGAACTAGTTGAACAGATTTTTGTTTGCTTATCAATATTTTCTACTACTTCACCCCAACAGAACACTAGAAAGTGAAGGTTGGGAAAAGCTTTTATTTGTCTTGCTCCTTATTGGAATTCTGTCTTCCTCTAAGCACATTTAGCTTCTATGTTTAATTTCTTTGTTAAGGTCAAGATGCCAGAGCTTTGCAAATAAGATGTTTTTGCTTTTCTGTAGTTGTGATACGCTGTCAAGCCAGGCAGAGGCTGGAGCAGAGAGTAGAGCTGCTGCTGATTGGTATCAAACCTGCTGCCACTGCTCTGCCTGATGCAGGGAACGCTGCCGTGGTCGACACGGAAGAGTTGTCCAACACCCCAGAAGTCACTGATGGTGAGAATAGTTTTGATGTCATACTATTTTAGGAAAATTTCAGATAATTACCAGATGTCCAGGTCTGCCATGACAATGAGTGAGGTTTAGGCAAATTGTCCCAGTCCATATTTCTATCATTTTGCAAGTATAGGGTATTTGTTTAACATTTTGTCTGCAGATAAAGCACCTATAAACCTGAACCTTCCCTTTTTTAAAATTTGTCCTGGATGTGAGGCTTGCATACACACGATCTCTCCTTTAAAAGAGAGTCTGCACAAGGTCTTCAGTTAGAAAAAATACATCTGTGTAAGCATTGCCAGGAGACATTTATCTGCAGGTTTATAAGATGCATTCCCATCAGCAGGTCAATACTGGTACCATAACGGATTGAAGAAGGGGGACTTTTTGAAAAAAGTGATAAAGCTTTGTAAAAGGATAGCTTCTACTTACTGTTAATCTGCTGAGAACACAATGAAAATCAATTTATTCAGATAGAGCAGCTGTTCAAAATATGCCTCTCCTTGAAACAGAGTGGCACAAATAAGTAGTAAGGAAAGAATGCTTGTTACTGCTTCACCAGTATTTCTGTTATCAGTCATGGTCACTACAACAGATTTGAAAATTGTGCATCTTGGAAACTTAACATTCCATTTTGGGTTCCAAGTCATCATTCTTTATACAGAAAATGTTATTTAAAAATTATGACACATAACATGAGACAGGCTAATGTGTGTTTAACTTAGCTGTAGATGAGGGAAGGGATTTAACCTGTGCTCTGACTTTGTTCAAGGTGGTAAAAGATGAGTTTACAGATGTTGCTATAATTGCAGTCTATCAGGTAATAGTTGTAAGGGCAGGCAAACTTGGCTTTTGTGTCCCATTTCTGCCATTTACAGTCTGTTCCAACAGAGGCTGTGTAGGAATACCATGTTACAGAAAATATCCTGCCAAATAACAGAGAAAGTGAATAGCTGTAAAAGGTAAATCAAGATGCATGACATCCTTCCTTGAAGGCAAATTTTCATGAAAACATGCATATGCTCTGCACACTGATCAATGTAATCTCATATCAAGAATTACTGTCCAGATCTTTAAACAGATTTTATTTCTGAAAGCTTTTAAAATAGGAGGAGATCTGAAGTTGAGCTATTAAAGAGAGCTTACAGAGCATATGCTTACTGATTGGTTAATATACATAATTAATTTTTTAAGTTTTATATTTATTCATATTGCAATGTCAAAGATAACTTATTTCCTGGGCATATTATCATCTTACACAACCATATTACAAAGTGATAGTGGTAAATCTAGTAAAGCAAAAAGATATGAAGCTGTCAGTGTACATTCTTTCATTCTTTCCTCTTTAGAGAGCTGTAAATACTATTATAAAAACTTGTTCAGCCTTTTGAGGACAGCTGTCCATCAAGATACAAAGGCACTTTTATTTTATCATAGAGTAATAGATTTAGCTCATTATTGGCTAGTCACATATGAGTGAGCTGCCTTAAACACATCTGGGCTATTTCCCTCCAAAATGGTGGTGTGTGAATTGACAAGAAAAACATGCAGTGAGCAAGCTGAGGCAGCATTTTGAAAGTCTTGCAGATTCATGATGTCTAGTTCTTGTTTTATTCATAGGAATAATTTATTAACACTGGCTTCTGCACATGCTACAAGGCATTGATTTGAGGCATTGCATCTTTTTAAGTAAGAAGTCTAGTAATGAAATGCTTTGCACCATAGGTAGTAAAATCATTTTTAACACTGTGTTTTTCATTGTTTTCAATGACATTTTAATGCCATTATTGATAGATGAATTTGAGGCCTGTTAGGAAGCAAATTAAAGGGTACTATCTGAGCTTTCTGCAGTCTACCAGTAATAACATAAATAAATGCCTAAACCTTTTAGATAACAGTCTGGCACACTGTGCTTCATTTTTTTTCTCTTCTGAAAGAGTGATTCATCAGAGTGCCTGTGTGATATGTAGTAAGCAGTTTTTACACCCAAGGATAAATGATGATAATTACTGGCAGATCAAATTTAAACAGCTAATACTGTGCTTCAGTATTTAAATTATTTGGACAAGTATAAACTCTTTTAAAGTGAAAAATCTTCAAACACATCTTTTACATAAAAAATCAATTTAATCCAATACAGAGGAGCGCACTTGACGCAGAAATCTACTACAATTTCTTAGGAAAGAGAGTGCAATCTAAATATTGTCTAGCTCCAACAACATAGTTTCTTGTTCAGAAGTCAACAAAGTTCCAGGGATCAAATAATGAAAGCTTAATATTTTAGATATAGCAAATACAGTATGGCGGCCCTTTTAAAAAATAATTTTCAGTTGCATTAAATGCATATTCACCCTAAATGTATTTTTCATCTGCTTTCTTACATATGGTTCTAAAGATATCTTTTTCACTAAAGGAACTTTAAGAGCTGAGATTCACCCAAACAAGTGTGAAGTTTGCTATTTTTTAGTTTAAGTATTCTGTGGGGAATACAAACACTTCTAATTTTCCACAATCTTCTAAAAAAAAACCCACCAAACATTCACAAATCAGTTGTGGATGTTTGACTGACATTTGAAATTCACAACTTTGTGTGTTTGTAGTGGTCCTTTGTAACTTTCCTTTTCAATTGCTTCTATTTATCTCATAAGCCAACCATGGGGGCTGAGTGTTTCTCATTAACGTCCCTCATCTTTATTAATTCATAGCCCTCCTCACAGCCCAGCAGCTGGTCTTAGCTCCTTGCTCCTGAGCTCTGATTTTGGGAAGGCTTCATGACAGTTACCTTGAGGGGAATAGTGCTGCCCAGGTTCTGCAGGGTAGCACAAGGTTGGTTTATGTTAGGAGCAAGTTTTAGATCCATTCTGAACATTCTGAGAGCGAAATAACATCCTCCAGATATGCTAATCCATAATGTACATTGGCATGATTATACAAAGTATATCTGTACCCTTTGTTTCACTGTTAATAAAAACCTTATAGCAAATACCTAATATTCCTGAAACTCATCAGAATATGCAAAAGGTTCTATTTTCTTTCATTTCATTAAAGCAGCTCTTTGAAACCAGCAAAGAATAAAAACATATCCAAACACACATTAAAAATCTGTTTTCCATCCCCAGCAGGATTTTGTGTTAGCCAGTGGTATGGATTACACTACATTCCCATTTAATGTGATGGATCTGGATCAGGAGGTTCACCTTTAAGATAAAAGGTCAATAAAATTGGTTAGGACTAATGAAATCTTTGGAGACAAAATATTTTTATGGACTTGATCACTCATGCAGAGATGTTAATGTGATTGCTGATAAAGTGTAGCAGGTTGATATTGAAAGCAGTATGAAGAGGATAATAATGATGAAGATGGCCCTATATCCTACTTAAGCCATTTTTGTATTGTCAGAATAACTGTGGCATTATTTTTGAAATTATCCTTGAGGATGAGAAAATTATAGCTATATAAATTAGTTTTTCTTCCTATGCAAGAAATAAAAGAAAGGGTAACCAAGTGTTTGTTTTGGATTAAGAGCTGATGAAAGCAGTGATCAATGGCAATATGAAATTGTTGACAAGGGGGCGAACCAATAATTGAGCCACTTTGTTATGAATTATTGCTTTGTTGTTAGGAGTGAGAACTCCTGATGGAAAATGGAGAACTAGTAGAAGTAAAAGTATAAAGCATCAGAGGAGAACTGACAGTCTTAGATGGATTATTTTGTCATCTACATAATTTTTGTTTACATCTGCCTGTTTGTTTATTTATTTATGAGTGAAGCATGGAAGAGATTTGATGTATTGTTTATTTCCATTATTGAATTGAAATAATGCCAGGCATTTTAATGAAGAAGGTCAAATAGTTCTTGTTGATATACAAGGATAGCACTGGGTCCATTAAAGAAGAGAAAAAAATACAGCACAATTTTTATCTAATAAGTAAACACTCTTACTGCCATTTCTTAATATAACTAGAACAATAACAACAAATTCTGATAAAAAAAGAACTTGTGAATTGTGACCAGGAAGTTGGGGACTGCTTTTATATCTGTTTAGTTGTCACTTATTTCTGTTTCCTTGCCATTTTATAAAATGTAAAAATCTGTAAGCCTTAGGAATGAGAATCATTATGTTAATCAAAATTACTTCCTGATACTTATGCAAAATCATGCTCACTCTAAATATTCAACACTTAAAGGGAACCAGATCTATTATAAGCTAATCTAAAGCTATTTTTTCAGCTTCATAAAATTGCAAAAACAATAAGTAATACAAAACCAGAAATAATGAAATTCTTCCAGGTGCTAATCTTCAGTATGATGTAGATCCAGGAAACAAGGGAAGTCCAAAAGAACTGATTGACTAACCTAAATATCTGAAACAAGAACACACAAATAGATATCCCTTAAAATTATTTGAGCTAATGGATAAGAAATATCTAGGCAATATAATTAGCTGGAGGAGTGTATTAATTGCTTTAATTGCTCTGTGTTTGTGATTGCTGTTTCTCCCCTTTCTTGCTCGCAGAATTTCCTGTAATTTCTTTGGCTGGGTGATAAGGAAGTATCACTTCCAATAGAAACAGAACCACTACACCCTTGTTTTGTAAAGATACTTTGGGGAAGCTTCTGTAAATCAGAGCCATGGTCAATAAAATTCTATAGGACCGTAACTGTTCCTCTGGAACATCATAATACCTAACAATGATCTGTCTGCATTAATTTCCATTATTTTTAAAATTATTTTCTCATTATTTATGGGACACAAACAAAGCGTTGCTGGTCAAACCCCTTAAGATGCAAAGTTCTTCAGTTTTTCTGGGACAGTAGCCCTATGTCTCTCTGCTGTGTTTGAATGCTTTTTGTCATAGAGAAGCAGAGGATTTATGCACCTAAATTTGCCTCACAAAATTTATCAGTCACTGTAGTAAAAAACTACATGCATGCAAACAAGCCTATCCCAAATGCTCTTCCATTTCCAGGTTATTGCATCCTATTGTCATTTCTGTT